CATGTCACAGTGGAGCTTCTGAATGAGTAGGTCCAGCATAGATCTGATCTTCTCACTCTGACAACTCCAAGAAAAAAATAGAGAATAAAGAAGAACCCTATATTGCCTTCATTGACCTGATCAAGGCTTTCAACCTCGCCAGCAGAAAAAGCCTCTTCAAATTACTGGAAAGGACTTGCTATCTCTAAAATTTCTCAACATAATCCACTCTTTCCATGACGAAATGCAGGGAACAGTCATCTATGATGGAAAAATATTTGAGGCTTTTGAGATCTGAAGCAGAGTCGAGCAGGACTGTGTCCTTGTCCTGACCCTGTTAGGGTCTTTTTTCTTTTCGCTTCTTTTGACATATGCTTTTGGGGCTGCCACTAGAGGAAATTACATATATGCGCCGATGGAAAATTCTTCAATGTCACATGCTTTAAAGTGAAGACTGAAGTGCAAAAAAGTTTTGATACATGAGGTGAAGTTTGCTGCTGCAGTAATAGCCCACAGAGTAACTTTAAAGGCTCATCAGTTGCTTTGCTCATGCCTGCCTAGATTTTGGTCTTACAATCAGCATCAAGATGACCAATGTTATGGGCCAGAACCTGGATTCACCACCCACAGTCACAATAGGTGAAAATATACTGGAAGTTGTAAGTAAATTTTTGTGCCTTGGCTCCATTGTTACCAACAACCTGTCACTTGAGGCTGAACACTAGCTTCAGGTACCATGAGATTACTCTGCAGATGAGTGTGGAACAACAACAACACGATTGTTAAGACCTAGGTCAAAGTTGCATCATCAACATGCTTTTGTATGGCAGTGAATCCTGGACCACATACTTTACTTAAGAAAAGTGCCTCAACAGCTTTCACTTATGTTGCTTCTGCTGCATTCTAGGATTTTCCTGGCAGAACAAAGTTGCCTACACTGGGATCTTGGAATAGGTCAACATTCCAAGCATCCATTCCCTTTTCAGTCGGGACTGACTTCAATGGTTTGGTCAAATGTGGAGAATGGATGACAGCTATACACCCAAGGATCTTTTATATGGAAAACTCTTTACAAAAAAAGACCACACCGACATCCTTATCTCCATTTCAGAGATGCTTGCAAGAGACATATGAAGGCAATGAACATTGGCCCAAGTGACTGGGAAAAGATTACTGAAGATCAAAGCACTTGGAAACAGTCTATTAAGTGTGGAATGAAGGCTTTTGAGGAAAGAAGAGCTCAGAATGCAGAAGAAAGAAGAAACCTCTGGAAGAACTCCGCACCATATTCAGGACTGGTAAATATGGACTTCACATGAGATAAATGCAGAAGGGACTATTATTCAAGGATTGGGCTCTACAGCTACACTTGCACATGTTCAATGAGCTGACGTCTCACTCGGTGCAATTCTATCATCTCACAGAACAGACAGGTACCTATGAGCAACCAAGAAAGTTGCTAAGAGGCAAAAAGAATTGGAGGAATGACTTGAAAGGTATTACAAAGGAAAAGAAAATTTTCTGGTAGCCAGGTAAAAATCTCTAGTCTATAGATTGTAACATTTATGTTAGTTCCTAAGGTCCTTTGTACACGCCACAAAATTGGCCTTTAAAATGACTTAAATGCCCTTTTGCACCACTTTAATGGTGTGGCTGTTTACACTGTCGGCGGCATAATCAGCTTTAATGGTGTAGCTGTTTACACAGTCAGCGGTGCATTGCATGTTAAATGACTTTGGGACACAGCAAAATAAAACATATCTAAAGTGGTTTAGTTTGCTACCTTACAGCTGTGGAGGGAAGCACTAAGCCCTGTGCAGCTCAGAGGCTGTGCAGGCAGTGGCGGCAGCCTGTGCAAGCAGGTTCCACTGAAGAAAAAAAAAAGTGTCAAGCCAGATCTTTTTTCTTTTCTCCCCGGAGCCTGTCTGCCTACCTGCCTGAGCTGTGCGAGGGCCCAGTGCTTCCCTCTGTAGCTGTGGTGCCCCCCCAGGACTGCCTGGGACAGGTGCCCGCGGGTGGGTACTGCCGCCGCAGCACAGGGAAGTACCATTCCCCCACCACCGGCCCCTCCCCCCCAGCTCAGGGACTGCTTGGCCCGCCAGCAGCTCGTCTTGCTGCACCCCCTGCTGCCAGAGGGGCAGGTAAGGACCCGACCCTTGTGTACATGGCATGGGGGTTTACTTTGGTTTAAATTGATATGCGGTTTTTAAAAACCCACCACTTCAATTTAGGGAGAATTAAACCAGAGTAAACCCCCGTGACATGTACAAGCTGGCTAAGGTGCCATGCTGCCCTGGCTGCTTCTGCCTGACTTAAAACTACCTTGGGTAATTACCTCTCTCCATTCCTTAAGATGAGCAGTACTCCTCCTCTACATTCCCACAGAAGCCAATGACACTAATCATAGGTAAAGGTGACAGGAATCATTCCCTAGGTAGCTGGCTAAAGAGTTAAAAAAGATTGAGGAAAGAAGGAAGGTTAATGCAAGTGTTCCTTTCATGTTGTACAAAGAAGAGATATAGGAGAATTCTAACACCCAAGAGGACTAAGGTTATAAGATGAAGCAAGTGGAATCATCTTTACATGCTTTAAATTATCCTGTTTAAAAATGTCTTCAGGACCCCAATACCATAAAAATTAAAATTAGGTGTAATTTCTATGAGAACAGAAAATCTGCACTTAATATGGTTAATTTACAGCAGATATCTTGTAAATCTTTCACAGCACTCTAGAACTCCAAGGTAAAATTATAAGCATATTTCTAAGCAGTTTGAAGTCTAATCCATGAGCAAGATCACTTATCTACAAAGCCACCTGCATGTTGCAATTTAAACTATTATGCTAAAAAAGAAAGATGTAGAAGTGGGAGAATTTTTAAGAGGCTTTTCCCTGATACTATTTACAAAATCTATTTTTAAACTCTCTACACTACTATCAACTTGCCTCTTCTGCCCTCAGATGCTGAACCCTCCTATTCCATAAGAGACCTGGCCTTTTCCCAGACACCTAAAATAGTCTGCCTCCCCAAAAATGCCCTAACACTATTCCTTCTCTTTCCATCTCCTCGTTTCTGTTTATTCCACTTGCTCCCTGGTTGACTCTCCAAACTTTCTCTTCTTTTGCACACAGACACATACTCCCAGGCAACCCCACTCCCAGTTGTCAGTTGCTGACCCATTAATATAGTTGGAAACAAGAAGCCCTGATATAATTCAGGGGTGCTCATCCTTTGGCCCATGGAGCTATGACATCTGGCCCTTGTGACTCCCCATGAATTGAAAAATTTGGCAGTGGGGGAGTGGTGGGAATTAATACTGCTACCCCTTCCTCTCTGCCAAATTACCAAGCCCTGTACAGCTGATTGGGACTGAGTTGGCCCTGCCTTACTCCCACACGGGAGTAAGATTGGGCCTGGCCTAGCCCCGCCCTACTCTCACACCAAATCAGAGCCAGGCCACCCCCTTCCATCCCCCTTGCCGACCCCTCCCTCCCGCATGGCTGGATTATGGTTGGACTGACCAGATGGGGGCCAAGCTGTTGCCACGTGGCTGGATCAGGGCTGGGCCCCACTTGCCCTTGGCATCAGATCAGGTCCCCACTGTACCTGCCTTCTATACTGGATTGGGTCCACAAGCTAGACTGAGTCTGCAGACAGAATTACCACCACCTATCCGGCCCATGGAGTGTAAAGTTTGGGCACTGCTGGTATAACTGATACAGAAAAGGGGACAAAGTCACTCGAGGTCAGCATTTTAACTCAAGCACTGTAACAGGCCTGTGCTTTTTAACAGGCTGTGTGTAAGTATCCCTAAAGTATGTTTATGACTTACTGGGATTTGCATCCATATGATGCTCCAGGAACCTATATTGTAGCCTGCAAAGGGACAGTACGTAGAGTGGGACACCAAAGAAGTTGCCCCTTCTGATGATGTCTGGTAGATGCTAAGAGTTGCCTGAGACACATTTCACACCTTAATACATGTCTGAAGCTTCATTTCATAGATGCTTGACAAGAACAAAAATCAGATATTGAGATTGTAATATAGTATTATTAAAAATAGAATGATAAAACTAACTTAAATTAATTTTTAATAAGAGGTAGATTTATCACAAGTCTAGGAAGAAATCTTAGTCCCTTAATGGTCAATAGACATGTTTCTGTGGTCTTCAGTAGAGCCCGGATTTCATCCTATATTTTTCTCTGTTATTTTATTGCAACGTACCATGTGTAGAAGACATTTAAAACTGACTGCAAACAATATTTTAGTAAAATATTTACAATTAACACATTTAGACCAAACATAAAATGACAAAGCAGTTTTAATGGCCTATTTTGCTATGTATCATAATATATTAATATTATTATACAATTTTACGTACACGCACATAAACATACACATATTATCATATATATCAACATATCATCCTATATATCAATTCACTTCTCAGCTATGGACTTTGTCTGCCAAATTTCACTATGAAGCATGTGTTGGTGGCTTAACAATAACCTCTTACCAAAAACACAGTGGACATACAGATACAGGTTAGTGGTAACCAGCTGTCAGTTATGACTAAGATTAATTTCTAGGAAATATAACAAAGCTCAGACTTGGAGTAACTGTGCTGCATGCTGTTGAAATGGGAAAACATATGTTCTTAGAAAATGCCAGCATAAACAGACATAACTTTCAAGGAAGTCAGAGTGCCTTGAGTACTCCATGCCAGGAGCTGCTTAGGTCCTTTTGCTTTGAAAAAGCAATTCAGTACTTTATATAGGGTGGCCATGCATAAGTGTTATGTTCAATCAGTCAGGTTAATATTTATGCCAGTACTTCTAAGATGTTAAGATATTTCCATTTAGCTAACATGCAGTACATCTATAAACCACGTGTTTAAGTTGGCTTGATAACAAGAACTGATAAAATGGCTCAAGAAGAATTTGGACTAATGCCAGTCACTAGACCAGAGAATGCCCTTCAGCATAGCAGGTCCATTCTGCCACTGCAGTTATGTCTACTTACCTTCACTGCACTAAAGCAGAAAGTGGATAGTACAACCAGAACTGCAAAGCTTCGAGAAATACCATACAGTGCAGATACCAATCCAGCAGCGGCTGAAATACAAATATCAAAGTTTGTTACTTTCTAAATGAAAAGAGAAAATGTAACCTAAAGAAAAATCAAAAGACGACTTACATGACCAGAATGTTATTCAGTAAGGTTAGATGTCAAATCTTAGCTGTATAAAGAAAACCTTTCCTGTCTGATCAGTCAAACTAATTCCTCAGAGATGAAAGGTAAAATCAGGGCCTCAATGGGTCAATGAGTGGTCACTAGGGTTGTGCAAACCTTCGGTCGCCGATTTGTTGGAGATTCAGCCCAATTCGGCAGCCAAATCTCCAAATCCAAATTGAATCAAGAGACTCTTTAATATATCCAAATTGATTTGGAGAGATTCAGAGTGATTTGATGATTCAGACATAGACATCCAAATTGAATAAGTCCGAATCTGAATTGAATAAGGCCTGTTTCATACACTGTGGCAGGGCACCTTTGGGTGCCTGCCACTTACAGTCAGGCAGCTACCAGGTGCCTAATGGCAGCAGTCATTTTGAGAACAAGGGATACAAAGGCTGCAGTTTGCTGCTGCCAGCCCAGGCAGAAACAATGCCTGGCTGAGCTGCAGCAAGAACATCTTGAAGGTAAAAGCAGGAGGCTCTTGGTTCAGGGCATGACCTAAAACTGCACCCTGCTGGGGATGGGTGGCCTGGTGGGGCTCATACTGGTGTGGGAGCTCCCAGGAAATGCCAGACCAGTTACCTCCCCAGTGAAAAGTGGGTAGGCGTGCCTTAACTCCAGCCCCCATCTTCAGGCAGGCGTTGGAGGCAGTTGAGGGAGTAGTGGGGCCAGGCACGGCAAGCAGAGTGACACCTGAGCCCAGCAGGACTATGAAATCCTAGAGACCCCAGAGCGGGTAGCGTAGAGTTGTGGGACTAGTGGGAGCCAGGTATGTTCATGTGTAGGTGCCTAAGCCCAGCAGGGAAGTGATATCTTGGAGACCCCAAAGGGGGTAGTGTGGGGAGTGTAGTTGTGTGGCCCACACAGAGTAGTGCTGAATGGGAGTAGGCCTGAAGGGCTGCGCATGAGGGGGACTGAGTAGGGCTGAATAGGGAGTAGGCCCAGAGGGCAGTCCCAGGGGCATGTTGAGCAGGGCCAAACTGGGAGTAAGCCTGAAGGGCAGCGCAAGGGCCATCCCTGTGAGTAGTTGATCATGAAGATGAGAAGGCCTTAGGGTAGGGCGTGGTATAGAGGCCCTAGCAGGGGTGTAATAGGAACCCCACATGTGGGGAAGAAACCAAGGCATGGTTGCGGATGCCTCAAGCTGTAGTTTGGGCCAGAGGCTGAGTTAACGGTGAGTCTTGGCCTCAGCAAGTCCTCCATTGCAAGGAGGCTGAGAGTGGAATGAAAGAAAGACCTGAAGGGCAAGCACAATGACCTACTGCTCCAGGGAGGGAGGGAGAGTCCCTGTGAGACCCTGGAGCACCAGTCGTGGTGTAGGTTATGATTACATCATGTGGATGACATCTGCAAGGTATGGGAGGCAGTGTAGGGGAGGTTTGGAGCTGCAGACAACGCCCCCTGGCATCAGGGTGGGGAATAGGCAGCTTCCCACCTTATGCCATCAGTTTATGGGAACAGCAAAGTTGCGGCAGGTGAGACTGGGCAGACTGCCCCAGAGACAGGTGGGCAGGCTGGCATGAGACCTAGTCCTGAGCATGCCCACTGTCACACACACCCCTAGTGGTCACTTAGCCCATGGTTTCACCTGAAAGATGACTTGTTCTTTATCCTGAATATTGTCATGCAAAAATGTTCACCCCTGGTGTGTCCTTTTTTAATTTTTTAAAGAAGGAAAGAATGGAAGCTACTTTAAAATGCCTTCTATATAAATGCCTTACATTTCTGCACTCCATTACAGCATGCCCCTTAGGTTAAAGAACTTCTAATTACGCTACAGGTTTTTATACTGTGAAGATACCTTAGACCACTGTTTCTGAACTAAGGTACTGTAAGATCTTTTTAAGGGCATCATGCAATATTAGCATTGTTAGGTATGATGCAAACACTTACACATGATTCACAAGATAAGCCCAGAGATTTCAAACCAGAATATATAGTAACAAAAACAGTCTGACCTGTCATGGGCTTTCTTAGTTCTTTGCAACAGAAGAATTGCTCTATTATTTTTCCATAGTGTGGTTATAAGTAAAAGCTAAAAGCTGGCATGTTCCTCGGAAAGCCTTGAGTCTAATGTGGGGTGCCTTCAATCTAAAACTGGAGAACCTTTGCTCTAGACATTCATGTTGGTTGTAGCAAGCTTAAAATGTATGCTCCTGATTAAGCAACAGAGCAAAAAGAAGGTAGGAAAGGAGAGAAAATGAACTAAGCACTCCCTTTCTCTTGTTGTTTTTTTTTGTTAGTTCTTATTGAGTGTACTATGGTTGAAATAACTTGATAAAATTAGAAGCAACTACCATGTTTTTCTAACATACTTTCCTCAGTATGGACCAAGATGGGGGGTGGGGGGAAGAAGATTTATTTGGTAGTGTTAATGCACTTTTGCAATGGTGGTGGTTTGCAGTCTACAGTTAGAGTGCCTATACTTTCAGAGAAACATCTGGTCCAGGAAACTATGATACCACTGTGTCATTGCCAACTCAAGCATGGATGGGCTTAAAAATGTACTGCCAAACAGATTAATCTAAGGCATGAAACAATGAGCTCATGATAACATGCTACTTACCTGAACCACCAAAAAGCAACATGTCTATTTGTTCCAAGACATATATACAAAAAGTGTTGATCTGAGGAAATAGGCCAAGAAGAGAAATTGCAGGGAAGCAATACAAAAACACTGAAATAAAATAGATGGATGTTAGTGTATCTGAGTATCACAAAAACTGGATGTTTGTATTCATATAGAAAACTGAGAGAAGCTGCATCATGCTACAATAATTAACCTTTCCATTACATTTCAATGGATTTCTAGTGAGTGGATTTTAATATTGGAAATCATGATTATCTTTTAGAGACATTTTATTATTTAAAGATTATTTTTATTCAATGTTTCTTTAATAGCAATAATAGGCAACATTATAAGGCATTCACACAATGCTATTTAAAAACTTTACAAACATTATTTCTCACAACAGGCCTGTGATGTAAATATTATCCCCCTGTTTTACATATAGTTAAAGCACTATACATAGTTTAAAGTTCACTTCAACGCTGAACACTGACTGGCAGAATAAATGGTTTTGTGCATTCTACACTAGCTATTTCTCAATATCAAATCTGCTCAGTTTGAATTAAAGCATAAAGCTAACCTGGGGTTCTGCCAAGTGAATTTGAAATGGGTCAGTCAGACTGAATTCTGACAGTGCATTTTGCCTGACAGTCACTAAAGATTCTGCAACTAGAAGATAGCTGCTGGTGATGCCAGTGATGACAGTATCCATCTCACTCTCACATAACTGCCTTGACCCTGGAAGACCAATGTGAATAAATTTTTAAAAATGCAGCAGAGTAAGCAGATATATAAAGCGTGCATCTACACGTTGCCCTATGTCACCGCAGCAATGTGCTATATCGCTGTACAGTGCACTACAGTGACATAGCAATCACATAAATCTACACATGATCCACTGCTACATCACCATAGCTCCCCCATTTTAGCATGCCTCAACAGTAAAGTAGGGGTGAAAACTAACTATGTGCTGTGTGCAGTGTACTAAAGGTGGTTACTGCGCTGTGCTTTAGTACTTCCAGAAGGGCGACGTGTAGATGGCAAGCTTTATCTACTGAGTAAAGGGCCATGTTTACTGTGTCGTGTTATTACTGCACCATATTGTTACTGTGCTGTGCATTTGGAAGTACTAAAGCACAGCACAGTAACAACATGGCGCAGTAAACATGGCCCTTCACTCAGTAGATAAAGCTTGCCTTTGGGCACATCCACATATTGCCCTATGGTGATGTTACTGTGCCATGCTTACTAAAGCACTTCCAAAAAACTACTAAAGCATGGCGCAGTAACAACGTCACTATAAGGCAACATGTAGATGCTCCCAAAGGCAAGCTTTATCTACTGAGTAAAGGGTCATGTTTACATAGCATTTCTTCAGCATGGAAACCTCTAAGAAGCCAGGATTAACACTCAGGTATTTGGACTTCCAGTGTCATACCTTCAACACTTTCACCTTTCTGAGGGCTCACTCTCTTGATCCAGGAAAGCATTTGAGCAGAGGCTTGATTTTAAGCAGATGTTTAGTCCTACTGACTTGAAAGGGTTTATGCATATGGTCAAAGAAAAATACGTGCTTAAATGCTTTGCTGGATTGGTGCCAGAATGCTCTTCACCAGGCACTATCATGCCCTGTACAGGCAATACTACTTGGATGAGTGGAAATAATCACTAGTATGGGGAACCTAAAACCAGATAAATTGAAGCAAGTGACAGTAAATTGAGAGGTGCAAGAACTTAAGACTGCCACCAAACAAACCAAGTGAGAGGGAAAGAACCGAAATACAAATGAGATGAGCAAACAACTTTTGAAAAGAGACATTCTTAGTAAGACCTGTGAAAATGGAAGCAATGCTTTTTTATGAAAGGACAGCCTTTGAACTGCTGCCAATACTGCTTCAAATTGAAGCTGCATCAAAAAGAGGTAAAGGAAAACCTGATCCAGTCTCTGTCAGTAGTCAAAGAGAAAGCAAACAAACACTTATTATGTTAACAGGATCACTGAGAGACTGGAAAATTACTTCCCAAAGTATATGCCCCATTTCTCACAGAAAAATATTCTGCTGTTTCTCATGGTTTTCCTTGTACACAAATGTGTATTTGTTAGTTACATCTGCTACATTTTTCTCCTTATTTGCCCTGTTAATAAATGAAACAATCTACTGATCTTCTCTTTTTTTCCCAGGATGACTTTTAAAATGTTACCGCTCATCTTTGTTTCCTTTGTTAAATGTTAATTATATCATTTTGCTTATAACTGTCTGTGTTAATGCATCTTGGGTTAAAATAAAACAGTAATACACTGGTGTTAACTCTGACTGAATTCATCTTCACCCTGTTCTATCATAATTTTGTGAATCTTGTAGAAGTCAAACATAAGAGGGAAAAGACAAGCTACAGTATCAGACAGAAAGAATGGAAGTGTCTGAATACTGGCACAATAGGTCAGACCCAATTAAATGAAAACCTAAGTTCATATTTATGTCATGCATATCATGATCATCCACCACTGACAAATTAGATACATAAAAAAGCATACAGAAATACTGCATTCTCCATCTCTTGCTTGTAGATGGTACTAATAACTCTTCTTCCTTACCTTTTCTTTTCTCCTTCTTTTGGCCATCCAATCTATCTATTCCAAACTATTTTTGGATTGCTACTTAGGAGAGCCATGGCAAAAAATAGTAAGCTGCTTTAGGGATTATCCTGAATCCTCCATTTGATCCCAGAGATTTTTAGTCCCCCAGTGCCTTGAAATTTAGGAGAGTTTTACAAAAGCTTGGCACTGAAGTAATGAGAGATCCTCACTTTGAGGCAAGGGACTCACTACATAGCTAGCCTGATGTTATTAGCTTGGTATCTGAATTATTGCATCAATATGACTCAAGAACAGCCTGTACATCAGGAGGGGGAATAATGAAAAGGACAGGAAGCAGAACTCACTGCCAATGTGTCAGAAGAGTGTGTGTGTTAATAAATGGATGCACACGTGAGAGGGAATGACGCCGGTTGGCTGTCCAAGGCCAAGTTCCATTTGTGCCCTCCTTGACATTTCCTGATGCATGGTAATCTTACCCAGCACCAGAGAGTATCCTAGAGAAAGGAAACTTAAAAGGCCATTGTACTTAAAGAAACTGAATTTAGGAATCATTTGGTTTTCCTGGGGAAGAGAAAAGCGTTAAAAGAGGCTGATTAAATAGTTAAAGTTGTATTAAGAATCCCAGACAGCATATGCGTGCCTTCTTATTTACGCCCTACGTAGAAAAGCAACACTACAACTGGCTCCCTCCAAGGGAATAATAGCTGAGCTATTTGGGAGGAAGGTGTTAGTTTTGACTTAAAAGATCTTAGCTGTTTGATACTGCTGCAACTGATTTGGGTTTGTTTCACATTCTTGAAATAAATCTCACTGTTCTTTGTACAACATCAGAATGACCAGTTTCTTAGTCAGACTTCCAAGAAGCACAATTTTTGTTTTGTTTTTTTATCTGATCATTATTGTTTCATAGATACCTGGAACAACACAATACCACGGGAAAACGTTAGCTTCCTTTCACCACGACTTTACACACACAAATTTATACCAGTCTTAAAATATCTAAATATATTACAGTTGAGATAGGATACTCTGCCTCTCCTTTCAAGTACTGCATAACTAGGAAGAGCATTTATAAGGACTTAGCATTATGGGTAAAATCTTAGCTCCACTGCAGATGGAATGGAGCAAACCACCCATCTTTGATAGGGCCAAGGTTTCATCTCCTATATTTAGCACAACTAAGAATACACAAAATGCAAGCACTTTAATATCTTCACCATCTAAGAGAACTATTTATATCCAGGTAGCTACATTCATCTGGAAACACAATATGTGACCAGATATGAGACCTAAGCCTTTACGTCCAACATTTTTTGTTTGGTGAGAGAAGTAATGTTTCCGCTACTGAATGGGAAAGACAAAAAGTTCACCATAATATTAATATTATTGTCTGAGAGCAACAAGAGGCTATCTAATTTCCTTGGCTGTTAAGAAGTATTGCAAAGCAGCTGTTGCTGCAATGAAGGGGGATTGTATTATAAAAGAAGAAAAATGCTAGATGGGACGGTAGGTGCTAAGTCAACGTTCCACATTCTCACATCAGAAAGCCTTTTCTCCTGGATCATAAATTAAAAGAAGTGAAAGATTTTGGTCAGACTACTGGTCATATATGATCCAGGCTGGAGGCTTCGATCTCTGCTCAAATAGGTAGCACTGTAAGTCTACTTGTTCTACAAGGTAAAAATGGGTGGAAAGCCTCTGGCAGTTGGTGACTTCCATTTTTTCAAAAAAAGCTAAACGGTAATATGAGTTTGTAGTCCCCCTCCTCCCTGTTTTTAGTCGGCTTCAAAAATTCTGTTCCATGATCTCTTTGAGGCCAGCCAAAATTAACACATTTATAGCGTCACTTATCCTATAGTGGTTGCTATAGTTTTTCCATTTATCTTTATCCCAGGAGTCATTTAGGATTCTTGTTGAATTATTTATCAGCATTTTTACTGTTCACCTTTGACAGGCAGCTAGAATAAAATGTAAGAAGAAACTGTAATGAGAGCAAGGGAAACTAATGAAAGAAGCTAATGAAAATAAGTGATGCAGGTCTTCATTATTCCCTAGTTTGAGAGGAGGAGAAACAAGAGCCAAAGAGCACATATAAAAAGCTGCATTTTATTCTAAAAACAGAACTTTTGCTAGGAGGTGATGACCAGACTTTAAGTGCAGCTATAGCAATCACAGATAGATAAGGCCAATTAGGTCATCTGCCCCGTAACAAAGTTCCTTCATCCAATACTTCTTTATTTTCTGGTTTTAAATGTCCCAAATAATTAGGCTTCTGCCACTTTTTGGGGGAGACTATTACACAACAAGCATAGTTCACTCTTAGGCATGAATGACTGGTGCCTCCCAAGACCAGAGGGGCACTATGGCGGTGAGCAGGGACCGCCCGCAGCCAGCGGTGTCGGTGGCGGTGAGCGGGAACCGCCCACGGATGCCAGTGGCAGTGTCGGCACTGGAGGGTGAGGGTGGCAAGCAGTGATAGCCCACAGATGCCACTGGCCATGTCAGCAGTGAGGGAAGGGAGAAGCAGGCGGCGAGCAGATACTGCCCACAGGAGCCAGCAGCGGCTTCACTGGCAGCCAATCTCAGGCAGGGCACGTGCCTCTCCGTTCACCCCCACACATGGCCTATGCTTTCAGGTAGTTTTAATCCTAACCTACATTCTACCTTTCAGTTTTATCCCATTATTCCTTGTACTTCTCCAGATCACTCCATTCAGTCCTGTATTTACATCCTTCATTATACAGGACAATTGTTACCATGTTTCCTCCTGAGTCATTGCTTTTACATAACTCAGACTCATGGCATACAATTACATTTCTTGAGTTCCCTAATAATTTTTTCAGCTTTTGTCTCAACTATCACCAACCAGTAAATATTTTACCAGCAAAGAAGTACCCAGGCAGAATTCAGAATTCTAGGCATGACTGCCCCAGAGCAGTGCAGAGAAAAATTCCTGGTGATCTGTCATGAGATACTTGTATATAAAGCTATTTTAGGGCTTGTATACACAAGGAAGTGGACTGCAATAGCAACTGCATAAAAGCTACTCTGCATTATTTGCTGAAATGAAAAGTTTTGAGTTAAACTCTTAGGCTAAGCACAGACAGTCAAAAAGCCTGAAAAGGAATCAATTCAATCTTTGCAGATTTCTCTAAGCTCCAAATATTGAACCCATAAACTGAACTCGCATTCAGTTTTCAGTCGGGAAAGGCAGCTACCTCCCACATGTGGAGGCAGGTTGAATGCAGGGGAGGGGGTGGGCAGCTGGGAAGACCTGGGTTTCTGGGCAAAGCTGGACCTGGGAGGGTGGGGGGCAGGGGGCTCTGTTCCCCCTTCCCCCACCCTGCCCTACTGGGCTAACAGGCATAGGCAGGATGCAGAGGTTTTGCTGCCTGAGCTCTGTGACGGCCTGGGGCAGGACAAACCCATCTTGGCTGGAGCAGACAGAGCAGCCAAAGCTCTGCCCTGTGAGGGGGTTGTGCGGGAGTACAAGGCATCCTGGGATGCTGGAGGACTGAGACCTAACTTGAACTGGGAAGGGATTTGAGACAGAAGTTCAATAGAGAAGTTGAACCTAAATCAGTTAAATCTGATACTACATTCATTCAGGTCCATCTTAAACCAGGTTCGGCCATTTTGAAACCAGCCTATGTGCACTGAACTGTTCTGTTACAGGTTTAAACCAGTTTCCAATCACTTATACCGGTTTGTGTGTAATTTCTGTCCATTGCCTTAATATGCAGACTAAGAATGTTCATGTGTGTAGTTAGTGCAAGATAGCTTATGCCATGTGTGCTCAGTTTCCTGTGCCACTCTACACCAGCTTGTAAGCTTAAAGCCCTGCCATGTAGCAGGCATTGTACTGTGTGGTAGGTACCCTACCACATATTCAGTATAAGGCACAATGGAAACCAACTGCAAAAATCTTCAACGTTTAATGTGGTATATTTTTATGGCTGTGTAGCAGGGCACTGGTCCCAAGCCCTGTTACAGTGCACGCATGCCAGCTGGACCAGAGCTCACCCGAAGACTTACCAGGAGAACAGGGTGTTTCAGCATGGGCTCTGAAGATGCACTGTCAGCTGTCCATATGCTAGCAGGGACTGGAGGGGCTGATGCAGGCAGCAGGCAACCACATGCGGCAGGAGTTGGCTCCCATTGGCTCCTGGGAGTTCCACCAGAGGCTCAAAGGGGCAGCTGGCACACTCTCTCATCCACAGAGAGAGGAAGGTATGGGAAAGTTCAAGTACCACGCAAGCCGCATGGAGACATGAAGCCAGAGTCAGGGACAGAACTGGAGCCAGAGCCAGAGCTGAACCTGAAGTTGGAGCCAGAGTGGAGCTGGAGCCAGAACTGGAGTTAGAGCCAGAGCCAAGGCCAGAACTGGAGCCAGGGATGAGAAGTCCCACTGCCAAGTTGCAGCTGGAGGAACTAGATGGAACCAGTGATTGAGGAGACTGATGAAGACGGGGTAAGATTTCCCCAAAGCTAGGTGAGCACACTGATAAACCAGCAGGCTATAAAATTATTAATTGATAAAGTATAAGAGGATCATTGATTGAGTTAAGGCGGAAATGGACTATTAAGCGTTGAATTACAAGGATCGTTGATTAAGTTAATGAGCTGGCAAGCTATGGACTAAACAATAAGGGGTAAGGATGATGATTGATTGAGTTAATAAACCAATATACGATAGATGGTTAATTGAGGAATCACAGGCTTTATAAATTAAAATCGATAAGTCGGGGAGCCATAAATTAGTGAATAGGCATCTTAATCTTAGGTACGTTGGAAGCCAAGAGTTACTAACGATAAGTAGACTTAGGAACCGAGAGAAGAGGCCCAAGGATGCAGGTGGATGTGATAAGGCCTTAACCACAGTCCAACAGCAAGTGGCAAGGTGCAGGGTGTAGGGGAGGACAAGCCCTGTGGAGAAAATCTCTGCCCTCAAGTCATACTGCTGATTTTGGATAATACTTCACCTCTCTTTTCTCTTTTCTACTATTAAAAACATCAAGGTGTGACAGATGAGTGGGAAGTGATCTAGAAGCAGAGCTGCAAGTGAGTGAGACGTCCCTGGATGCACCCACTTACAGGCTGTTTTCTCTTTTCTTGGCCTTTAATTCCTGACCATGTAGCAGAGTTACTATTTATGATGAGACTAACAAATGAATCAGGTCATAAATGTAACATCTACTGGAACCATAGGCACACTATTTATGAAGATGAACTGAATTTCACAATTGGTGTTCATTTCTAATATCATTCTAAACTTGTTAGCTTCCTGCAGAGAATACTAACATAATCCTTATTTCACTAAGAACTGTTTTAGGCTAAGGGAGTGACCCCACCATACCTGTGTACTAAATCATTCCAGTTCTTTGTACAGATTTGACTTCAAGGCCCAAAGGCACTCCTCCATTATGTTCATTTGATTGTAAACATAAGAAAATGCAGGCTTCCCAATTTCATTTTTAGTGTCTCAGGCAAAGTATTGACTCACCTATTATATGGTCTCTGGCTGTTCGGAGAGATCCAGGCGAAAAGGGTTGCAAGCCGTACACTGTGTATATTGAAGGATTTTTATCTTTTGATCCACCATCTAGCAGCAAAATAAGGCCACACAATATACAAAAATATACAGGTCTGCTGTATGTTATGATTTGATTGTGTCCCTGAAAAAAAGAGCAAACAAAATCTTTCTTAATGTTGCTTTTTGTCTTTCTATTTATGATCATGACCCTGTCTACAGTCTGTATAAAACTGGGAGATGGAATGAGGGTCCAGCAGCAAAGATTTTCTATGAACTATTCCTCCTAATTAGCAATAAAATGCTGCAAGCTATTTTATCCACCTCAAAGTAGATTTTTAAAAGGCACAAAGGGCAGTTACAAACTTAGGTACCCTTTACGCCTCTAAGTATCTAACTCTTCATACCTTTCCAAAATGATATAGTAATTCTATAGTAGCCACTGTCATACACAGAAAAAATGTATAGCTGAATCATGCCATAATAAGCTTAGCATTTACATTCTTATTTAATTTTAATCACTGTCTACTTTGCATATCCTGACCTTTTAACTTAGCATTTATGAAAAGAACACTAAAGTTACAGTTCTTAAATTATATTTTGTTATGGTACCAGTCCTCAAACTGCTTTGGTTTGGGAAACCTTTTGTAAGTCTGTTACTCTACTGTGTATCCCCCTGATTCTGTTATGGATAATAAAGAAGGAACATATAACCTATAGTTCTTTTAACCATAATGTAACCCCTCAAGCTACTTAAGAGGGACTGTAGTTGTTTTTCATTTTTTCTTTTTCTTTTCTCTTCTATTTATATTTCCCCTT